TCTTTTTCTGTGCGTGCACACCCCCTGACCCCCCGTTGTCCACTGATGCTAGTAGCTCTTCTGAGGCTGGAGGCTCAGCCAGATCTGGCAAATCTATCTGGAGGGAGGCAGGCAGGAAATTTGCTGTCCTAGATGGTGTCGGCCTTTAGCCTGCACTCTCGGGGCATCTGAGGGAGAATGGTTGAGTCAGCTCATGGGTTTGTAGGTGCTGCACTGGGGAATTTTTTAATATGCTCTCTAGAGCTGCCAGATTGTGAGACTTCGTATTTCAATGAGAAAGTGGTGATACTATTATAATGAAAGTTGTCAGCTGCCATTACAGTGTTAGAGCCTGAGGGAACTAATTACTTGTGTTCTACTAAATGTAAGCATTGCATTAAGCAAAAAATGTGTTTTATTGCTAGGAAAATAATAATGAGAAACCGTATCTTGGTATTACAAAGGAGATGGTGTTTCTGTGGGCGATATCGAAGTAGTGGGTACACACTGATGTTAGTGTCAAACTCCATTTGAAGGAGTAAGCATGGACCGTGATACTAAGATTCCGGTGTGGTTTTGTAATTTCACTTTTTATGTAGGTGTGTGGTAATGTTTAAGTCATTTGTCAGTCACAGCTGGTTCATGCAGGTGGATTTAACAGTGTGGTTGGCAGTCTGCGTCTCTAGCACACTGGTGCACAGCAGGTGTGAAACTGAGCAATTTTGGCGCCTCTGTTTCTGCCAGTGAGAATTTTAAAATGTGCTATGGGTCAAGTAGGATTATTGATGTGAGAACAGGCGGCTGCTGGCTGCACACTTAACAGCCTTTCCTGGCGGCCAGGAGAGGGGCAGTCAGCCACAAGGTCCTGCCCAGTGTCAAATACTGTTACTCCTCAGATTAGGCACACTGGAGGCATACAGCTTCCCCGTAGTCTTCCTTCTCTCGGCAGAATAACTAATCTTCTGTGTTGCAACTTTGTCTTGCAGTCCTACTGTCAATGTTTTTATTTTGCCTGTTCCTGGAATTTTAAACAGGAATTAATATAGTTCTTTATTTTCATAGGGTTTATGCACTGTTAAATAAATGGTTTGCCTGTGAATAGATCCATCCCATTCTGGAGAATGCCAAGTGTCTCTTGTGCTCTTCCTTGGAGATAGAGGGTTTCACTTCAAATGTGATAGGGAGCCTTTTTGTGCCAAAAGAGAAAACATACTATTGGGCACAAAAACTGTGGACTGGTGTCTTTTTCAGTCACAGTGCTAGTGATGTAAATGAAAACTGAGAAATAGGTCAGGTAAGTTTAAAAATACCCATTTGCTATTCTGGGAAACTTTAAAATTGTCCAATGATTTTTAAAAGGAAAAAAAAAATCCCAACCTGAAACTATTTAACATCTGAGATGTGGTTCTTCTAGACTAGACTAAAACAGTCAACAGCAGATGTCTTCTCTCCCAAGATCTACCAAGAAAGGAACAAGGATTAGACTGATATTTCCCCTGTGGGTTCCTGCAGTCATAGCTTAAATTAAAGGTTGCTTCCAGATTATACAATCCAACAGCAAGAGCCCTAACCCCTTTTTTTTCTTTCTTCTCGCTCATGGCAGGAGGCTGCTAGTTTGTGTAGGCTTTCAATGGATACTTGGATCTCTGTCATTTGATGTGCTCTTGCAAAGTAGAAGGGTTATCTGATTAGTCAGAGTGAAACTTGAATGTTTCTGCATTGATCCATAAGAGAATTTTGGGTTGTGCTGGAAAAAAATGAAACTCTGAAACTGGGTTTATCTGAAGCAAAAGAGAAGCCTGTACTTTAAACTGACAGAACTAGTCTAGACTTGTGTAGATGAACGTTGTGATTTGAATATGAATACATACTGGTTTCATGATGAGAGGGACGTGTTTTCCAGCCACAACTGAACCTCATAAAACTGTGGTATCCTCCATGCAGAATTTAGGGTATGCCTTCCTTTGTAATGGATTGAGTTCCACTTGACTTTGCCCACTGAGGGCACTAACATCTCAGTTCAGACCACAAGCCTGCTTCTGGTGTGATCTCCTGACAGTCCCCTGTCCTGTATGTTGGCTCCTTTGGGAGTGGCCCGAGTGCCTTTTGGACAGGTCTTAACTGGAAAAAGTGCTCCAGATGGACAGTCTGGTCGGTCTGCAGGGGAGCCTGCAGCTCGTCTTGTGTGAACCTGAGTGAAAGACATCTTGTGTGGGCATCTGCTGCTCAGAAGCAAGTACTTGGTCTACAGCTCTTGTCTGTGCTACTGCCTTGTGTATACATAGCCTGAGAGACTTGCACCTAGGGAATCAGCAGGG